TTGGCAGGAGGCCCTTCCGAACACTCTGCTTCACAAATAGGTGCCCGCAAGGAGTTCGGGTGACCTAACAGTGAACCGCATACCATTCAATACTAGCACGGCAGAGCCCACATCTCCTTCGTCTCCTTCAGTCAGATTCTCCCTCTGGGCAACCGACGGCTGGACAAGTGTAGAGTAGCAGAGGTTATGAGCCTGCATGATACTCGGATACAGTGACGCGAAATCGAGTGTCGCGATGGGATTCTGGTAGAACCCGGTTGACGGGTCCAGGACCTGACCCATCTCCCTTGACGTACACAAGACAAGTGTTAGCTTACTGTAGCGCCCTCATATTCGCCACCTGGACTTGATTTCTGCGCAGGTATAACATAGCCGTGAGATCGGGCCTGATGATCGTTGTTGCATTGGAGGTAACGACGTTGGCACATCCCACCTTCCTGAACAGCTGCGAGGCAACCTTGATCATCTGCCCTCTAGTGAGCAAGTAGTTGATGGGCACACCTGTCACACGGGCCATTTCCGTGTAGTTGTACCTACATCAGTTCGTCGCCCATAGCTTCACTCAGATGGATGAACTCACATGCAGACAAGTTTATTCATGAGCCGTAGTGGGAGAAGGGCATCCTTCAGGCAGTACACCGCCAGCCGCTTGCGTGTCTCTGGCGTGCCTTTCTGCAGGTCTCCAATGATGGAATAGTGCACGTCCTCCTTCTGTTCTCCTAGGAACTCAGCCGATACTGCGTTGAGAGAATAACTCCGCAACTTATGCTCTCGCTGCATCACAATCTGAATACCACACTTCGCTAAAAGCCTCAAAACACAGACCTAGCATTCTAATACTACGACCGCGCTCCATCGCGCATTTCTAACCACATTGCTATGAAATGGGCCAACCCTTTTTATCTCTACACAATTATGCAGGCGGCAACGAGAGGATTATCGCTGATGGCAATTCCTAGTCATTACTGCCTTAATTTCACATCATTGGAGGAGTTATATCATCGATACTGATCTATCGGAAGCAGTAGGCTCATATCATCATGATGATTCGTTTGTAACGAGGATGATCTCACCAGCATATCGAACTGCACTCTGCCTTCTATATTAATGTCCTTATTCTCCCGCCGTCCCAAGGCACGACTTTCGAACACTGAGTCCTTTACTTTGGAGGCCACACCTCTCAAGCGGCCGAGATATTCAAATGGAGGGTGAACCTTATGGAAAGGGAACTGATCCTTTTGAAGGTCTGAACTGCTACCTTCAGATGAGCTGATCTGTCCAGCAGATAAGGGAAATCGAAATTGATGATGTTGTAACCAGTGACGACATCGGGATCAACCAGGACCATATACCTATCCAGAGTGAATCGGTCCAATGGACCGGGTCCATACACACTGGCCAAAGAAAAAGAGCCAGGATACTCACTGTTGGAAACTCGAGAGGAGGTCCTTTTCACTTTGGAAGGAAACCACTGTAGCATCAGCGATGTCCGCACAAGTGTCCAAGGTCCACACCACCTTATGCTTCTGTTCAGCTGAGAGGGACATCAACTGCTACTATGAATAACACCCTTTCCTGACCCTACTTCCTTCCTGCATCACAGCAGCTATTTGGATCACTGGGGCCACGTCGGGCGTTGGGAAGCCTTTACCGTGCTCAGAGACACACTCAATGTCGAAAGAGACGACACGTAGAGGGGCCAGTGCCATCCAATCACCTTCGTCGGGGAGGATCGACCACCATGTGCTCAGCAGTATCATCTCACCTTCTGCCATGTGACCTATTATCTGCCTGTAGTCCTGCACATCTACCTCTATCTGGCACGTGCTTACCCTATCACTGTCAGTACGAGAAGTGTATGACCCAGCGGGGAGTTCAACCTGACAACCTCAAGATCGACTGAGGACAGTAGTGAGCGAGGTCCTCACCCAGGAGCCCCCTCCAATATCGTTGTCGATCATGAACCGAAGTGGATACGGAATGTTGGTTTCGAAGGTCGTGCAGTTCCACAAGGCATCCCCTGAAATGGCAGGAGAGTTGAGATAACCACAGACTCCCACGAATCAACCTTGGAGGACAGGGATGCCTCTTTCCAGCACTCCTCGAGAGGTCGATATGAATTTGGGAAGTGCCACTGTGACTCGGAAGTATTCACTTGCCGTGTTCCGACCGGTCCATCCCATGAGGTTCTCTCGGACCACGATCTGATCAGTCCAGTCCCCGAGGGAAAGACCAAGTGCAAATTACCTCTACACTGGTCACCAGCTGCTTGCACCGACTCCCAGAGGCCGTCTGTGAGCCGCGGAGGGCCGATTCGAGGCGCGTCTGAAAGCGCTCGCAGTCAACCGTCTGGTCTGGTCTCGGACAGTAGAAGTAGGGGAGGAAACCGTGAATGTGGCACATGAGTGAATTGCCTGTAGCGGTGACCCCGAACCTGCAATAGACACATAGATGATAGAATTCAGATGATTTCACTCACATTCGGATCACTGGTACTTCTCCATTTTGAATCGGATCGCATGCTCGAGGGGCCGCGGAGTAGTTATCAACATCTACCTGAACACTCGCTGCGTCACCGCGCCACAAAAGTACCCCTAGTGCGAAGACTCTCACTTGCATGAAAGCCAATGACTTTGTCAGAGCATCAGCCGGCACAGGTTTCCGTTTCCACTCCTCAGCCAGGCTAGGGTCAAGGCCACCACAAGTGCGTAGACGCTTCACGGCTGGCGGGGATAGATCCATAGAGACTGAATCAAAATGCCCTAGGTTGCAGGTTCGAATCCCACAGCCTGCATATTTATCTCGCAACTAACCCAAGACTGCTCTCCTTATACCAAGATGCATTTCATGAGCTCTTGCAACCCATAGTACGTTGGTAATAATAATTTCTACATCGCTACATCCTAACAGCTCCCTCCCGTGAAACGAAGATTCCTCTTTAGCATGTGATCCCTCAGCACAGAATCGGTCCAACCCTCGTTCCTGTCCGGGTCGCGTCCACTCCTGCTACTGTCGCTGTCGCTAATGGCCTCCTCCCACACACTGACCCGATCCCTATCACGCCGCACACCTCGCTCCAACGTCTCTGGCTGAGTAGCATCAAGAACAATTGGTCGTGAGCTTTGACTGAGTCGGAGGGCTGAAGCACGGCCCGATTGACGACGCAGATGTGAGCGAACGAAGTTTTCAACAGAGAAACCCCCACAGGA